GACACTTTTACCAGAACTCAGACTTTACCTAACTCTGACAAGGTGAGTCTATCTATTTGCATTATGTACGCTTTTCGGATTAACCTTGTTAATTGTACAATTTTAGGAGGGTATGAGGTGTGGGGTGGAGGAGAGTGATGGGGGGGGAACGCATGTTGCTATTCATAAGAAAGTATTCTTGATCAAATTATGCACAATGAATTGATGTTCATTTGGTTGTTTTAATACATGACAGCATTAGTGATCTGCTTTGGATTGAGTAATTATACCTATTTAATCTCGAACTGTTTAATTAGCATATAATTCTACAGATTTGATGTGCCATGTTGGTCGAATAGTTCGTGATAGTCTTTAAACTGTTGCCTGCTCGAATTGCAACTGATTACGTCACTGAACTGCTCTGAAAGACTAAAGGAGCTGTCCCTTGTCCTGAAATGTTATGGTCGTTTTTAATGAAACCCTTGACATTACCTCTTTATAATGGTTTGTTTCCCCTCCAAAAAAAAACAAAAAAACAATGGAAACCTCTGTCAATTATTAGCCTTATAGTTATTTTCTCTCTTATTTTAATTTCCCATTCCATATTTTAGATTTATTTCTTATTATTTTTTTTTTATAATATACAGTTTCTCTTCAATGAGACCAACACCTGGTGTCGCCGGAGACCTCAAATCTTTGCGTGGCTCATCTTTTTTTTTTTTTTGTTCTCAGGCTCCTCCTTTTCATGTGTAGTCACAGTCCGCCCTGGTGCTTTGTGGGGAAACACGACTGGGCACCAGACAGAGCATATATCCACCTCAAACTGATCACGGTTAAAAAGTGTAATTTATTTCTTTGTGTGGCAACGATGGGACGCGCAGGACAAAGAGACACAGTCTGGATACAAACCATCGCTCTGCTTTATTTCTGCGGCTCATCCGCAGCGCAGCTTTCATTCTCCGTTTCCGAGGAGGTTGACAAAGGAACCGTGGTGGCAAACCTCGCTAAGGAATTGCACATCAGTGCGCTGGACCTGGAAAAACGGGATTTACGAATCGTATCTGGGATGTCTAGGAATTATTTTGACGTGGATTTAAAAACTGGTGCTCTGTTTGTTTCGGGCAGGATTGATCGTGAAGAGCTTTGTCCAAATATGCTGAAATGTTCCCTGAAAATAGAAGCCATATTGAACAACCCGATGCATTTGCATCGCATAGAGGTCCTAGTTATTGACATTAATGACAATGCACCATATTTCCGTGAAAAGGAAATAAATCTGAATATTTACGAATCTTCCTTCACCGGTGAGAGGTATTTACTCCCAATGGCAAATGACGCAGACACGGGGAGTAACACGGTGAAAAGCTACAAGCTGAGTCCAAATGAGTGTTTCTCTCTGGACGTGCAGAGCGGGGGACAGCACAGTGAGTCTGCAGAGTTAGTGCTGCAAAAAGCTTTAGACAGAGAGAAACAATCCATTATTCACCTGACGTTAACAGCGTTTGACGGTGGCAAACCTCCCCGATCAGGGACATTAAACATAATTGTACAAGTTATGGATGTAAATGACAATAATCCACAGTTCACACAGTCTCTATATAAAGCTCAGGTCCCTGAAAATGTCCCATTCCAGACCACCATACTGACTGTAAGTGCTACAGATTTGGATGATGGAGCAAATGGTGAAATTATCTATTCATTTATTGAAAGAGGGAACTTTAATCCTGGTTTATTTTTCTCTATTAACTCAGACACGGGGGAAATAACTGTGGTAGGAAAGGTAGACTATGAAGAAAATGCAGCTTTTGATATACGAATACAAGCAAATGATAAAGGCACACCTTCTCGAAGTGTGCACGGTAAACTGTTACTGGAAGTAATTGATGTTAATGACAACATACCAGAAATCCTTGTCACATCTTTGATGACCCCAGTTAAAGAAGATGCTGAGGTTGGAACAGTTGTTGCCCTGGTGACTGTCACTGACAAAGATGGGGGCAATAATGGTGTCGCCAATGCTAAAATTTCTGGGTTGGTTCCTTTTGACCTGAAACTGAATTATAAAAATTACTATTCTTTGACAGTTAATGGACCTCTTAATAGAGAGAAAGTGGCTCAATATAATGTGACAATAATAGCTACAGATGAAGGCACCCCACCTCTGTCGAGTAGCAGTGTTATTTCTGTTCACATTTCTGATGTGAATGATAATGCTCCACTATTCTCAGAGCAAGAAATTAATTTATACGTGGAGGAGAAAAGTGGAGCCGGGACAACAATCGGATTGATAACAGCACAAGATCCTGATACAGCAGAAAATGCAAAAGTCATGTACTCCATTTATGGCAACTTTTCAAAATATATCCCAATATCATCTGTTTTAAACATCAACTCAGAGACAGGAGATATAATCAGTCTGCAGAGTTTTAACTATGAGGAGTTAAAAACATTTCGGTTTAAAGTTCAGGCCACAGACTCTGGTGTTCCTCCACTCAGCAGCAACGTGACTGTAAATGTTTTTATCTTGGATGAGAATGACAACAGTCCAACTATTCTGGCTCCTTATTCTGAG